CTTGTACCTCTGCAGAGGTTCCAAAAGCCAAAGAGAAAAGTAGTATTCAAACATTTAAAGAACATGCAGCAGAAAGCTGTAGTAGTGGTAGTTGCTATTCTTGGATGCATATTTTCTCCCTTCTTTTGTTGCTGTGGTAGTTGCTATTCTTGGATACATATTTTCTCCCTTCTTTTGTTGCTGCTAAGTATCTGCCGTATCTATCTATACCTTATCTGTACCAACCCTCCCACTCTTGTTATCACCAGTACAGCCCAACAACAATTTGAAAGCTAAGACAAAATTACTATAGAAATAAACTTTGGCACACCCTTTCCACTCTGTTCCCCATTCTGACCTGAGAGACATTGCTTTTTGGAGTGTTTAATTGCATAGGTCACAATGTTTTTCACAATGTTATTGGAACCATGCAAATTACCACCACCAACGATGATTTCTGAGCGTAAGGGAAATAAAGTAAGTGAAATTATCACACAACTGACAGCTGTTTGCTTGAGGGGGGCTTGTGTGTTTGGTTGGTTGGTTTGATTTTTTTTAAATGGAGGTGCATTTATTTTGTACTAGTAGCTGCAAACATGTTCAATACAATAAAGAGAAAGGGGTTTTGGTACAATCAGATGGCTAGTTGCTAGGGACTAAGGCTTCCCCAGCCTCTCCCAGTGCTCAGTGTTATCTTCAGTTTTCTATTCCTAAATTAGATATTAAACACGCTAAGGCTGGTGACAGAAACACTCATGGATGCTGAATCTTCTTTCACTTGGCTACAGCACTATAAAGCACCCAACACTGCCTTGTTTTCTGACAGATGACATTTAACCAGTATGTTCTACAGGACTGTGGTATTATTACAACCCACATGACATGGAAACCAGTCTCGATTCCACTGAACACAAGAACCTCTTCTATGTTGCCCCACCACTTCCTTGCTGTAATCAGACAACTGTTCCATGGCACACTATAGTCAACACTGACCTGAAGAAACAGACAAACTACTGTCCTAAAAATAAAACAGTTTGGATCCCAAGACCACACATCAGAAAAAGCAAATTTTTTTAACAAACAGAAACTTTCCAGAGCATGCTCCCCACTGGGTCAGATGACTTCCCTCCACCCCAACCCAACTGGTACGCATGTACACATGTGCCCACATATACAAGAATCTCAAAAATAGCTACAGACTTTTAGAAACACTTCATCATCTATTACTTGTCTTCACTTATTAGCCTGGAACTTTGAGAGCTTAAACCACAAGCTGTCTCCAATGAGATAACCCTGTTCAAAGATTGTGAAAATATTGTTGCTGAATTCTTCAAGCTTGAAAAAGAGTCTGCATTTACAAAGACCAAGGAAGAAATAAAAAAGGAAGAAAAATTGCATCAGTTCCACTGAAAATTTGTGCAATTAGGTTAGTTAGTAACTGGACCACAATGACAGGTCCTTTCTTTCTTGCAGTTACAGTCAAAGACGAAATAAAAAGGTTTTGAAATGCAGTTTGCTGCTCTGATTTAGTGAAGTTTTTCAGAAGTCTGGTGACAGCCTGCTCACAGAAACTGAAGGATCCCCAACTGTCTTCTCAATCACAATAAATATCATATCCCTCACAGAGCATCTTTGAGCAATAGTTCAAAAGCAGGAGACAAGCTCTGAGTTGCACAGATGATTCAGAGTAGTGGGTGAGGAATGTAAATTCCATTTTGCAAAGCATTTGGTCTACTAAGCCCTCTGTTAGCCCACAAGACATGTCAAGTTCTGTCTTGAAAGGGTTTCTTTACCAGCTAAGAGACCATGTTTATAGGAGCTAAGTTTAAATAATGCCTGAAGTGCTTTTATGTTAACAGGCTCGCTGGGCAGGTCACGTAGGACTGATGTCTCTTCTCACTTCCAGCTTGCCTTGGAGTCAAGTGAAAGCTGTGGAAACTCAGGATTGCTTTTCTTCTGCCAGAGTGATGTATTAACTTAGCTAGAAGCTGCCTCTGAAGAAAACTGGGATATATACTTTAAAGAAGAAATTGGCTAACAAATTAGTCAAACATTTGGCAATTACTTCTGGAGCACAGTGGAAAGCTGGGTAGTGATTGGATGGAGAAGAAAGTGGAAAAATAAGCAAACTATTTCCTCTTCAAGAAAACATAAAAGGTGGTAAAAAAGCAACCAACCTTCTGGCTCAGGAAATCCTAGCCTATTCAGACCAATCCAAGATTGTGGAGTGAGGCAGTCAGGAGAACTCTTCAACAGAACAGCTTCCTAAGCAATTTAGGGAATACCTCTGTATCACAGGCTTCCCTGCCCTGAAGTAAATCCTGTCTAAAAACAAAACCATTGGCAGAGCTTCCAGCTGAGTGGGAACAATTCAATGCAACCTACTGGGAGGACACATCTAAGCTATGATTATTTGAAAAAAGCCAGCAGAATTTTTTCCATTCTCTTGGCAAAACACCAACACAGGTAACCATTCCTCCAGCTTGCAATATGTTTGCAATTGTCTGACTGGTGTCTTCCTTCACACTTTTCTTCATCTTTTGTGTACTAATGTTGCTAAGCATTAGATAGTTAGTGCTTGGTACACCTGTACTTGAGCAAAATGATCTATTTCAGAGTTGCTGTTAAGGATGCAGCTCTGTAAAAAGATATATGCTTGCAAAAAAGTTGTTATTTACAGGTAGCTGATACAATTCAAGGGAGTTGTAGCATAAATATTTATAGCAACACAATGTCTAAATTCAACCGGAAGGCAAAAATCAGTTAGAGAGATATTTTTATTTAAAATACCAACCAAGGGTACAGGACATTACATCATCCTGTCTAGTTTGTATGCTATTTTAAGTGAAAGACCACATTCCACCCTTTCAGATCACAGATGCAAAGACACTCTTATTTTAGCTAGAGCCTAGGAACAAGGAGTTTTCCACTGAAGCAAAAGTTTTCCAAAGTCTCCACATTCCTACACTAAAACTCATTCTCCAAGAAGAAAGCACGGCTACATCTCTATCTAGCAATTATTCTGAACAGCAGGAGGAGATTGAAGAAAGGGCATTTCATCACATTCAAAACAGTCACAACCCTTCAAGAAGAATGATAAATGAAGAAAAGAAGAGCTTCAATAAATCTGTCACAGGTGATTTGGATGGCAAATGACCTATTTGCCACAGAAGCAGAATCTTCAGGTCTAACAAAACAAAGCTCATGAGTTCTGGTAAGATGGTTCAAAAAGAAAACTGCTCAAGTCTCAAGACACTAGGACATATGCATTCCTACTACAGGATCTTCTGAGCCATTAAGCAACCACAGAGGGCAATTAAGCAATCGATTAAGTAATTGATTTTGTAACTGGAATGTTGCAAGTTTACTGACAGCTTCCTCAAGTTACAAGATCCAGAAACAATAAAGGTGACCAAAACACATCTGACAATGTTTTGTGGTAAATCACAAAATAAATTGGATATGTAGTTGATTAAAATGTATCAGCTATTTGTAAATAGCAACTTTTTTGCAAGCATATGTCTTTTTACAGAGCTGCATCCTTAACAACAACTCTGAAACAGATTATTTTGCCTAAGTAGAAGTGCAACAAGCACTAGCTCCCACTCTGCGCGAAAGTCACAGATAAAAAGTTTGGCATCTGCACTTGTCTGGGAAAAAAAGTTTTCAAGAGCATCACAGCCATATAAACACAAAATCTCAAATCCAGGGGAGGTCAGGACAAGTGTAGTGACATGCACAAAATGCAATTCACACGTAATGTAAACGTAAGTTCACAAAATAAAACTTACAGATAAATAACTAATTTAAATGTATGCAACCTTTGTTTTAGCTAAGAGGAGAAATCTATAAGTAGTAGTAAAATAGTGTCAAATGTAAAAGAAAATCACACAAATTAAAATGAAAGCACACAGAGATACACAAAGCTAGAAGGCCAAACTACTGGTATATTTAGCAGGTCCATCTTCAGGATTTCTGGACTATAACATGAAATGTTGGTTAAATAAGCAAAAACCCTAAAAATATAATGGCATTTTCCTCAAACCCCTGTCAGTAATCAAACCTTTTAGAGCCCAGTCATCCTCTCAGCTGTGGATTACACAGCTCTGATTAACAGACTTGACAATGAAACAAAATATTTTCATTTTACATCCAACACAGCTTGCAATTTGTTCTCACTATTGCTAAAGCACCTAAGATCACAGGATAGCACTCGGTTGTACTTAATACCACTAAAATGTAGAGTTTAATGGCCAGAGTAATTAAAAATAGAAACTCTAGTGCACTTTCTAAAGACTTGACTCTTCAATTAAGATTTAACACCCTTCTAAAAGAGCAGTGGTTTGGTTCA